AGTAACCATGGACACATTCATGGACTTAGTTGTGACCATGAAAGCCAATTCTCATGGTCATCCCTTGCCATGGAGCACATTAGCCATGGCCATGCAATCCATCCACTATATACTCATGGTCAACTGTTGTTTTCATGGTTTACTGGTTCCATAAATCTATGGTCAGAAATATCCATGGTTAAATTTATGTCTATGGCTCATGGACAGCCCCATGGTTTTTTTACCCAGGGGGGAAACCGGTTGTGGATGTGTGAATGTTTGAAAGGGCCTAACGTGAAACGTCATGTCACACAGATGAGAAGACGCAGTGGACGAGGCCAGGAGTGGAGAAGACCGGTAGGAGAGTTGTCGGACAGCGAGGAGACGCCCATTCCGTCGCCAAGACCCTGGCTGATCGGCCAGCGGTGGGACGAGCCCCGCGAACTTCCAGCGCCCCCGGCCGAGGAGACCCCCGCCCCCAAGAGAGCTAGGAGTCAGGACGACGAGGTGACAGGCGCCGAGGAGCCGGAAATCATCAACATCGCCAAGTTGATGTCCGAAGTGCTGAGCGCGGCGCGGCGCAGAAAGGGCATCATGGCCGAAAAGCTCAAGCTTGTCGAAGTGCTGCATGAGAAGGTGGACGAGGTGCGGCAGGCAGCCGACGCGCTCGAAAACCTAGAGAGCGGCATGACGGCGGGCGAAGTCCTCAAGAAGCTGGTGGCAGAGAGCGAGGAGCTCGAGCTCGAGGCGTCGGACGTGGACGAAGAGAGTTTGCTGAAGGAAGCGGAGAGCGCCGAGAATGGTGCCACGCTGGCCAGCGGCGGCGGCCCCGGGCAGGGTGCCACGCGCAGCACGGGCGGAGGCACCGATTCCGGTGCCACGTCCGGTGCCACGTCCAGCCAGGAAGGGGTTGTGGCGGCGAACAGCGGCCCTCCCCCCCCCTCTCGTGGTACGCAGCCTAGGGGCGATTCCCGAGACGACGGGCGGCAGGGTGGCAGTCACCCCGCCACCGCCTCGAGAGGGAGGTACGTCCAGTAGCTGGGCAGACACCCCAACACCGCCAGCACGCGGGCGCGGCCACCCACTTGCTGGGGGCGCGAGTAGGCCAGCCGGGGAGCTGCGGCGGGGCCTACGTCGTGAGAAGAGTACCTCCAGCAGTTGGACGGACACAACGACCCCTCCGGTGCGCGGCCGCACTCACCCGCTAGCCCGGGGCGCGGCGAGGGCCGCCGGGGAAGCGCCGCGCACACCCCCGCCAGCAAGGAACACTGTTGATGCCAGGCAGATCCTGGAAGCTCGCAGGCACCAGGCGGCTGCAGCGGCGGCAGTGGCGGCCAGGGAAAACCAGGCCCCCTCCGCGCGCACCCAAGCTCGTCGAGAACGAAGAAGGCGGCTCAAGCTGAAATTGCAAGAGCAAGGGGAGGTTGTGAGAGCATCCCCGGGGCGACTCGCGAGGAACGAGCGGCGGGCCCGCAGCCGCGAGGCCCGCGAGGCCCGCGAGGGCGGCGAAGAGCCAGCAAGGGGCGCGGGGCGCCAATCTGTGTTCGACCGCTTGGGGGGTGAGGACTCGGAAAGCGAGTCCGAGGAGGAAGGGGCGGCGGCCCCAAGGGCGCGGCCCGTCAGGCGCCGGGAGAGGCCGGCTCGTTATCGAGAATAAGAGAAGAAGACCCTGGAGGGACGTATCCTGAATTTTGGATTTAGTTAGGATTATGGTTAGTGCCCCCGAACTGTTAGGGGGAGCACGAGAGTGTTGTTTTGTTGTAATTAAACCCTGCTATTTTTGTTATGAATAAACTTTGGGGGGGGAGGGGTGTAGTGTTGGTCGCTTGAGCTTCCTCAGCCGGCCGCCAGGTGGCGCTGCCCAAGCGCCACTGGTGGGTCCGGCTGCGGAGGAGAGTCATTCTGTGCTCAACCAGCCACCAACACACATCTCTCTTCCTCGTGTACAAAGGCAAGTAAGTGTCACTCATTATCCCCCAAGTCCCGGACACAACATAAGGGATTTGAATTCTGGTGGTGAAGAGAGCGATCCAACCAGACCAGGCCGCGGTTGAAGGTCCGGCTGGAAGAAGTGTTGAGGGCATGGGTGGGAAACTTCACTGAACAAAAATTGGGTACGCCCTTTTTAAAAAATCAGGGATAAAAGTCATTAGAACAATTAGAAAAAAATCAGAAAAACATCAGAAAGATAAAAGGATAATAGCAGGGAAATAAATCAGAGAAAAGAAGAAAAATTTGTGTATGCTTGAATTTATAGTGAAGTACCCCTCGGGGAAGGTGGGGAAGGGTCACGGTGAGCAGAGAACCAGTTGCCTACCTACTAGGCGGACCCTCATTCGTTATAGTTTTGTTTTATATTTTTAACGTCTGCTGTTATTTTAATGCACTTCGCTCAGCCACGCCGTGCATAATGTTAACGTACGGGGCCCTACGTTAAGAATTCAATAGAAAACTTACCGTACTCGTATTTGGCCTTGTCTTTTTCTTTTATTTTTATCACGTATCGATCCCCATTTTCGGGATCTACTATTGAATAGTCAACTAGTTTTCTCATTTTTCAAGATTGGTTTTTTAATCAATTGAAGTCAATTAACCGTAGTGACCCGCACCGCCAAGAACAAGAGTTGGGATCTCAAAGCCCGCGAACGAAACCGAACCGAACGCCGACGAACCAACGAGTTTCAATTGAAGGCTGTGGTCTGTGGTTGGTCGCTGCGTTTTCAAACCAATACCCCGCCGTGTGTCGAACACGGTGTATTGCCGACGGTGATTTTTTTGTTAAAAACACTCATAAAATCGAAAACTATTTTGTCAGAGCGAATATATGGCCTTAAATTGGCATCTTCTAAGTGCTAATCTGCTAACTGCTAATCGCTTAACCTGATACAGCCACGGAATGAAGTATATGCATTGTTTACTGAAACAAATAAGAACAAGCGTCATTTCAATGAGA